TGGATAGTGGCTTAGCAACTTCATCTGCCAGTTCCCTCAGGACCCGCGGATGCACCTCATCAGGTCCCATGGACTTGTCCACCTTCAGGTTCTTTAGATGGTCTCGAACCTGATCTTCTCCTACAGTGGGCGGTTCTTCATTCTCCCAGTCCCTGCCTTTGCCTTCTGGGACTTGGGCTGTGCAGCTGGAGCTCGTGCCGGTGAAGACTGAGGCAAAGAAGTCACTGAGAACCTCAGCCTTCTCCATATTCTGGGTAGCCAGGTCCCGCATTTCCTTCCAGAGGGGATCTATGTTTTTGCTTGTATTCCTCTGTCTAAGTATGATAAATAAAACCCAACAGGGGAAAAAAAGCTTTTCATGAGATTACTCTGCTTTCACTCAGGTGGCTACACATCTGTATAGGAAAAAGCATCTATGGTCGTGTCCAGCTGAGTCTTCGTTAGGCTACCTCCCCCCCGGGCTCCCCCATGGTTCTTTAACACCTTTTATTTGCCTGCTGGTGAGGCTGGTCTGGGGACCTGGCCACAAAGTCAGCCAGGCCTAGTAGAGCTCTGTTTAGCTGGAGGAGTGTTTTCATTTAGCTTTCATAACGGTCTGTTCTCCATGCTTTTCTTGTGTTAGTTCTGCTCTGATGTACAGCGCTGTTTGGTGCATATTGAGACGTGTGTCACCTGCATTTGAGTAACTCTGAGCGTGTTTTAGCTCAGTGGTTTATTCTCTTCAAGGTGCAGCATGTGGTGTCTCAAAACTGTGATGGGCTGCACCTGCGGAGTGGGTTACCCCGAGCAGCAATATCTGAGCTTCATGGAAACATGTACATAGAGGTGAGTGGCCAGAACAGGATAAAGTTACTGTCTAGTGGCCTCACAAGAAGATAACGTGGACTATTCATCACTCGCTCAAGGAGAGTTGGCACAAGGGCTAGCCTCTGCTTAGTTTTGTATTTTCAGGCGATCGGGATTGGGGTGAACTAGTTAGCAGGTACCAAAGCAAAGTGTTCTGTACAGCTGTGTAGCCTTTTCTCTGAACTTGCTGGAGCCTTCGCTTCTGACTGCTCTGAAGTCCCTCCTATTGCATGGCCATCGGGCTCCCTGTAATTCCACTCACTAGTTGAGGTTTTCCAAACTTTTCCAAGTTAGCGTCTGATCCCTGGTGATAACTCCTGCTTCCAATTTATTGTCCCCCAAAAGTGTTTTTTCTTCTGGGAGAAATGGCTGGCTCATGACCTTTCACGCGCTAGATGCTAACGATGTAACTGCTTTTTTGCTTTTGTCCTGCACCAGGTCTGCACTTCCTGTACACCCAACAGAGAGTATGTGCGAGTATTTGATGTGACAGAGCGCACAGCCCTGCACAGGCATCACACTGGCAGGATGTGCCACAAGTGTGGGGCACAGTTGAGAGATACAATCGTCCACTTTGGGGAGAAGGGGACGTTGAGGCAGCCCCTGAACTGGGAAGCAGCAACAGAAGCTGCAAGCAAAGCAGATGTGATTCTTTGTCTGGGTTCCAGCTTAAAGGTAACTTTAGAGACTCGGTGAAGATTGTTAGCAGCATTCCCTCTTGGTGATACACCTTGGTGCTGAGCAGTCTCCTCCCAAACAGACAACTGTAAACTCTGGTGTCAGGATTCGCCCACCATCTGTGATAGTCTCTCTTCCTCCCTCTTTCCCCTCCTGGTAATACATTCCTTTTCCTCTCGCTGATACGGTTCACAGTCATGCGTGCCTTTGGCTGTGCTGATAATCTCTGTTTTGTGGCAGGTTTTGAAGAAATATCCGCGTCTGTGGTGCATGAGCAAGCCCCCCCCTCGCCGGCCGAAGCTGTATATCGTGAACCTGCAGGTGAGAGCCCTCGGCACCAGGTTCGAAGGGTTTGGGAAAAGCGGGTGCTGGCGCGGGGTGAGCCTGTG